CAGCCGCTCGGCGATCTTTTTCTCGTTGTTGCCTCCGTCGATGTCGCTGTCGCCGTCACAGGTGTCGTCGCCTGCCCGTCGTCGTCGTTGTCGTCGTCGTCGTCGTCGTCGTCGTCGTCAACGTCGTCAACGTCGTCGTCGTCGTCGTCGTCGGTGTTGCCGTCGTCGTCGTCGTCGTCGTCGTCGTCGTCGTCGTCGTCGTCGTCGTCGTCGTTCGTCGTCGTGCCGGCGACGGCGTCTTCGTCTTCGTCCTCGTTTTCGTAGTCGTCGTCGGTGTCGTCGTCGTCGTCGTCGTTCGTCGTCGGCGTCGTCGTTGTCGTCGGTCTTCGTCGGCGTCGGCGTCGGCGCCAGCGCCGGCGGCTCGGCGGAGTCGGGCGCTAGGCTTGCAGGGCGGCCTCGGCGCCCACCCTGGCAGACTGACCCGTTGCTGCTGCTGTTGTTGTTGTTGTTGTTGTTGTTGTTGTTGTTGTTATCGATGAGTTTTCATAACTGAACACTCACTATTGTTGATCTCCCCCCCCTCCGGTGACCATTGTGTTCGTTCAATTGAAGTGCTTCCCCCGGGTCTCGCACCTTGTCTTCTATCAGGGAAAGTCACTAGGCTCAATCTGGGCCCTCGGCCCCCGGTTCACAACAACAGCGGCTCCCGCCGGATATTTCCTCACAATTCATTCCCAAGTCGCGCTCTGGCGCGGGATTTCGTCACAATTCATGTACGCATCGCGCTCTCGCGTGGGACCTCCTCGCAGTTTATTCAGACGATGTGCCCTCGGCGCTCAGGAATCACACTCTAGCTTTGGCTTCTATCACGAGTTACTTAGGATTCGCGTTATCGCTCGAGACTTCCTCGCGACTCCTGCAGGACCCACGCTGCTTCAGCAGCCCGCCTGCTCGACCTCGTCGCCTGGGCCCGCCTTCCCGACCTGCCCGCTATGGGTCTGCCCACCCGATCTGCCCGTCTGCTTCTACCACTTGTTTTCTGCTTCTTGCCCCAATTCCTGCTAATTTCTCCCGTGCTCCATTCTTCTCCCTCCCCCTTCCACCCCTCCTCTCTTCTCTTGTTTTAGGGGATGCACTAACTGCGCGTGGCAGGTAAGGAGGATATACCTCCAAGGGGGTACGATCAAAGAAGAGCGGGTACTGAGGGTTTGGGATATGCGTCTTGATTGTCACGTGAGCAGATAGGAGCGAACAGTCTTCAATGATTGTTGAACACTCATTTTTTAACAATACATATTTTTGATCTCCGGAAACGGTTCCGCGCGCTCTCGCCTCTACGCCGGCTACATTTTCTCTGAAAACGAGGCTCCCGCTCGAGCGTTGGCTTGAGCCGAAATGTGGGCCCTTGGAGGCCCAGCTACGACAAAAACGGCTCCCGCTCGTTATTTCCCCACAATTTATCCCGAGTCACCCTGGCCAGAGAGGCCCCAGAACTCAGGAACGGCGCTCTCGCTCGAGACGTCCTCGCAATGCAAGTAAGTTGGCAGAGGTCCAGCCACGACGACAGGGCTCCTGCTCGATACTTCCTCACGTTTTACTCCTAGAGCCCCTGGCCAAGAAGGCCCCCGAACTCAGGAACGGCGCTCTCGCTCGAGACTTTTCCGTAATTCCGGCAAGTTGGTGGAGGCCCGGACACGGCGACAAGGGCTCCCGTTCGATATTTTGCTCCATAGGTATTCCGAGAGCCCCTGGCCAGAGAGGCCCCCGAACTCAGGAACGGCACTCTCGCTCGAGACTTCTTCGCACGTCAGTCAGTTGCCGACAAGGAAGAGATTCCCCCCGAAAGGGGGTGCAATCGAAGACGGAGTGGGCAGGTATCGAGGGTTGGGGTATGAGGAATGCAAGACACCCGTGCCAGTAAGAGCGAACAGTCTCAAAATGATTGTTGTTGCAGTTGTCGTTGTCGTCGTCTTCGTCGTGGCTGAATTCTCATTGCTGGAGAGTGATTCTCGTTGATCTCACCTTCCGGGGCACCTTATACTTTTTCAATTAAAGGGCTCCTCCTGGGGCTCGCACCCTGTTTTGCACAAGGGAGAGCTGGGGGTCACAAAACTAGGCCCCTGGCCCCCGAGCTATAGCAAGAAAGGCTCTCGCCTGATGCTTCCTTGCAGTTTCTTCCAAGATCACGCTCTCGCGCAGCACGTCCTCACAATCTATACAGGAATCGCGCTCTCGCGTGGGACTTCCTCGCAATTTATTCAGACGCCGCGCCCTCGACACCCAGGAATCACGCTCTCGCTTTTGTTTTTCTCACGATTAATTTGGGAATCGCGGTCTCGCTCGAGTTTTCCTGGCGATTCGTGCCGTACTCACACTTCAGCAGCACGCCTTCTCGACCTGGTCGCTTGAGCTCGGCTTCCCGACCCGCCCATTAGTGTCTACCCGCCCGAAAGACCCGTCTGGTTCTGCCACGTGTTTTCTGCTCCTAGCCCCGCCCCATGCTAATCCCGTGCTCCATCCTTCTCCCCCCCTTCCATCCGTCCTCTCTTCCCCTGTTTCAAGGGCGGCGCCAATTACACGCGGCAGGTAAGGAAGATATGCCCCCAGGGGGGTACGATCGAAGACGAAGAGGGCGAGTACCGAGGGCTTGGGATGCACGCGTTGAGCAGGTCAGAGCGAACAGTCTTAACATGAGTTGTTGCTGTTGTTGTTGCTGTTGCTGTTGCTGTTGCTGTTGCTGTTATTGTAGCTGTTGCTGTTATTGTTGTTGTCGTTCTTCTTCTTGTTGTTGTTATTGCTGTTGTTGCTGTTCTTTTTCTTCTCATTCTTGTTGTTGTTGTTGTTGTTGTTGTTGTTGTCGTCGTCGTCGTCGTCGTCGTTGTTGTTGTTGTTGTTGTTGTTGTCGTCGTCGTCGTCGTCGTCGTCGTCGTCGTCGTCGTCGTCGTCGTCGTCGTCGTCGTTGTTGTTGTTGTTGTTGTTGTTGTTGTTGTTGTTTTGTTGTTGTTGTTGTTGTTGTTGTTGTTGTTGTTGTTGTTGTTGTTGTTGTTGTTGTTGTTGTTGTTGTTGTTGTTGTTGTTGTTGTTGTTGTTGTTGTTGTTGTTGTTGTTGTTGTTGTTGTCGTTGTTGTTGTTGTTGTGGTTGTTGTTGTTGTTGTTGTAATTGCCGCTGCTGCTGTTGTGCTTCTTGCTGTTCTTTCTATCCAAGCCCGGGCCCCCTTCCGAGCGACGGCCGGCAGGTGCCCCATCTCCCACGTGATCATGGGGGAATCCGACCTGGCGCTGGTGAGGTCGGCACCGCCCAAACATACAGTCAAAAACCCTAATAAGGACGCGCGACTTTGCTCAGGGTACCCTTGCGTCCTTGCTCTTCCTTGCTCTTGTGGCTCGTCCTTGGCCTCTTTCGCTTGCCCGCTTGTCAGGGTACCCTTGGGGCGTTCGTCGTCCGCCGCCCCAATAATCCCAACTTCGGATTCCAACGGTCTTGCGTCCTCACCGCGCGTCCTTATTAGGGTTTTTGATTGTACTCACACCACGTGTGCTTCGGCCCCGCATGGGCGACGCCAGCCGCAAGCGCTCCGAAGCCTCGTAGCACAAGCTTCGTGGCGGGCGCTCGCTGGCCATGCGGCCTGGGAAACGCTGTGCTGTCAGATCTGCCTGCTGCATGTTCGTGCCGGGCGTACGCCTCCAACACTCGGGAGGGAACAAAAACACACACACAGACACGATTAATCGTCGATTCCCTAGCAGATATGGGAAGATATGGGAAGTGGGGGGGAAGACCGAACACCCTGAAAATGGGGGGAAATATGGGGAACCCTGCTATTTGTGTGTATTTCTCTGTGTGCCCCAGGGCCACTTTAAGCACATCGGCACACCGCACCAGGCCCGGCAGGGGCCTGGTGGAGCGCCCGGCACACAGCTGTGGCCCCTTCAAACGCAGGGGCCCGGCACACAGCTGTGGCCCCTGCGCGGGCGCTCCTGGTGGAGAGCGCCGCCCGTGGCCCAGAGCCGGCAGGAAAGCCGCCGATCGTGGAATGCTGAAGGATCCACGCGGTTAGGGGGCCACGTGCGGACCCTACCCCTATACCCCCCACGATTTCTGAGGGGGAGGGTGGGGTTCACTTCGCTCGGGAGCTCCCGAACAAAGTGGGCCCCACCCTCCCCCTCAGAACTCGTAGGGGGCAGGGGCAGGGTTCGCACGTGGCCCCCTACTGAAGGCTGAGCGCTCCACGCGGTGCCAGAAACCAACGCCGGGGCCGTCACGACACGAGCCCGCCGTGCGTCGGAGGCGGCGACCGGGGCTCACCGGCCGAGGGGCGGGCACTGCACGCGTTCGCCCGGGAGCCTCGCGGGAGGCGCGGCTCTCCTCGGCGCGCTGGGAGGTGCTCGCCCCCCACCGTCGCCCCCGACGGTGCGCCTCCCCACGGGCTGCTCGCCCCCCTTTAACGGGCGAAGAACGGTATGAAATCAACTTTTTCGCCGTCGGGGACACCTGCCCCTGGGCGGCTGGAAAGTTTATACCCCTACGGTGCCACCATAAGGGTATAAACTTTCCAGCCGCCCAGGGGCAGGTGTCCCCGACGGCGAAAAAGTTTATTTCATACCGTTCTTCGCCCGTTAAGCCCCTCGTCGCCCCCGACAGTGCATCTCGTCGGCCCATGTCGCTCTCCCCATGGGCGAATCGGCCGTTTTCGGTTCGCGAGGGGGCGTCGCGGCCGCCCTTTTTGCGGGTCCAGGTCCGTCGGTTTCAGCCCCAGGCCGTTTTCGCTGAGGGGAGGTTTGTCCACTGCCGATATTCGCCCCCATCGTCGCCCCCGACAGTGCACCTCGTCGGCTCATGTCGCTCTCCCCATGGGCCACTCGCCCCCATCTCGGAAGCCGGGCAAGGGCTGCGAAATCCGTGGCTGCTAAAGTCGACCTCTGGGAAGCTGTCTTCGTCCTTCCGGGCAGAAGCCCGTGGACTGCTCCGCGTGCCACGCCGCATTCCTGGAAGTTGTGTTTTTTCCTTCCGGGAGGGCCGTTTTAGCAGCCACGGTTTTAGCAGCCCTCGCCCAGCTTTCGACTTTCAGCGACCGACGGGTACCGCTACTGGATAACCAGCCTCGACCCAATCCCTGTCCCTGAGATCGGCACCGAGGTAGGGTGATGCCAAACATGAGGACAGGGATGTGTTTCGAACTGGTAAAGTATGAAGACAGGGATCTGGATATCCCAAAAGACTTTTCTCGGAAGCCCATCGTCGCCCCCGACAGTGCGTCCCTCTGCGCCCCGGCAGCTGGTTTCGGCCCTACCGAGGAGCCCATTTCTCTATACATGGCCGCCTGCGGCGCCGGGAGGCGCCGGGAAAATCAGCTACGTGAGCTGCTTCTCAACCCCCCCCCCTTTGCTACCCCCCCCGTTCGCCCAACCCGATAGCAGCCCTCGCCCAGCTTCCTACCATCGTCGCCCCCGACAGTGCGTCCCTCTGCGGCCCGTCAGGGATACTCTCGGAGGTGGATAGACCTCCTACCCTGACACGTCGATTAGCGAATTGGCCGTTTTCGGTTCGCGAGAGGGCGTCGCGGCCGTCCTTTTCGCGGGTCCAGGTCCGTCGGTTTCGGTCCCAGGCCGTTTTCGCTGAGGGGAGGTTTACTAAAGGGAGGTTTGTCCACTGCCGATACTCGCCCCCATCGTCGCCCCCGACAGTGCGCCCCCCTGCGCCCCGGCAGGGACGCCAGCTTCCGGGAGCACGTCGAGGCGTACGCCGGCGACCAGGGCGCCTTCTTCCAGGAGCCGCGAGGGCCGGCGCCCGGCCGCCGGGGGCCCCCGCCCCGCGCATCTGTCAGGAGGGGAAAAAACACGAGGAGGAGGAGGAGGAGGAGGAGGAGGAGGAGGAGGAGGAGGAGGAGGAGGAGGAGGAGGAGGAGGAGGAGGAGCAGGAGGAGGAGGAGGAGGAGGAGGAGGAGGAGGAGGGGAAAAGGATATGGAGGGTGGGTGGGGGGGATATGGAGGAGGAGGAGGTACCCACTTTTCCGGTACCCATTTCTCTGGCACCCATTTTTTCCGGGCCTCACCGCCATGGGTCGGTTCTCTGGAGGTCTCCGCGGGGACCTCGGCGGCCACGGCTCGGAGCAGGGTTCTGCGTCGAGGGGCGGCGTGCCCCTTCCCGCGCGACGCGGGCGTGGGCCACGAGCAGCAGTCTGGCGCCGCAGAGAGTTGTCAGCTCATGTCCGGCACGGGCAGTCTTTCTTTGGGGTTGGGGTCGGCTATCACTCGGGGAAACGCAAGACTGGAGTATGCCGGAACTCGGGTTTGCCGACGTTTTTTTGACGAGCGCGTCCTGGATTCTGACGGTCCAGTTTTCGTGGGATGTCTGCAGCGGGAGCTCGCGTCAAATTTCAGATTGGGCCTCGTCATTTTTATATGGCCCCGTCGGGCCAACCCGAGTCCCCCATGCCCGAGTCTTACGTCTTCCCGAATCACGCAACCAGGATCGCTGCCAGGACCAGACCCCCCCGCGTCGTGAACAAAGATCGCGGCGCCCGAGGTCTCGGGCAGTGTTCGTCTCAGGGGGGGGGTCTTCGCCAGGCCCCAGGGCCGCCCGTCAATCAGGAGGGGAGGAACACACAGACACAATTCATCGTCGATTCCCCAGAAAATATGGGAAAGTATGGGAAGTGGGGGGGAAGACAAAAACCCAGGAAATATAGGAAAAAAATGGGTATCCTGTCATTTGTGTGTATTCACTTGTGTGTGTCCTTGGGCCCCTTGAGTCAAGAAGCGACTCGGGACAAAAAGCTCCAGGGCAGGGGTCCAGACCCCTGGGGGTTCTCGCACTGCGACGCGAATCGCGGCGTCGGTGGCCTGGGGAGCACCTTGTGAAGAGGGTCAACTCCGTCTTGGGCTTCTGCGGAGGCCCTGCGATCCGACGTTGCGGAACGGCGCAGCAGCGCGGAAAATCACGACCGGAGCCCTTGACCCCGTTCTCTTGCTGCGCTTCGGGCGCCGCATGCGAACCCTACCCCTACCCCCCACGATTTCTGAGGGGGCCACATGCGGACCCTAACCTCCCCCCCCCCCCACGATTTCTGAGGGGGAGGCTGGGGCCCACTTCGTTCGGGAGCTCCCGAGCGAAGTGAACCCCACCCTCCCCCTCAGAAGTCGTGGGGGGTACCTTAAGGGTAGGGTTCGCACGTGGCCCCCTAGCTTCGGGCGCCGCAGCGCTCGTGAGGGTCCGGGGGCCTGAGGCAAGCAGGGCGCGATCGTCCGGTGCGACAAGAAGCCGCGGCGCCAGGGTCTCGGCGGGGGGGGGCTCGTCGTCGCCACACGGCCAGCCCGCCCTCGAAATGCTGGTCGGGCTGAGTGCTGGGGCCCCAGGCGGAGAGGTGGGAGGAGGATGAGGAGGAGGAGGAGGAGGAGGAGGAGGAGGAGGAGGAGGGGGATGAGGAGGAGGAGGAGAGGAGGAGGAGGAGGAGGAGGAGGAGGGGAGGGAGAGGAGGAGGAGGAGGAGGAGGAGGAGGAGGAGGAGGAGGAGGAGGAGGGGAGGAGAGGAGGAAGAGGGAGGAATCTTGAGAGGAGGGGAGGAGGGGTATGGAGGAGGAATTGGAAGGGGGTGGAGGGAGAGAGGAGGAGGAGGAGAGGAGGAGGAGGAGGATGAGGAGGAGGAGGGGAGGAGGAGGAGGAGGAGGAGGAGGAGGCGGAGGGGATGAGGAGGAGTTGGAAGGGGGATGGAGGAGGAGGAGGAGGAGGAGGAGGAGGAGGAACAAGAAGAATAATAAACAACAATATAATAATCATAGCAATAACAATAATACTAATACTACTAATAGTAATATTATTGATAATACTAATAATATTAACAATAGTAATACGACTACTAGTACTACTACTACTACTACTACTACTACTACTACTACTACTACTACTACTACTACTACTACTAATACCAATAATAATACTAATAATAATAATATTAATAATAATAATGATAATACTACTAATACTAATATTATTATTTTTTCATAATAATAATACTACTACTAATAATAATAATATTATTATTAATAATAATACAAATAACAATAATAATAATGATAATAATAGTACTAATAATAATACTAATAATCATAATAATAATATTAATAATACTAATAAAACTAATAATAATAATACTAATAATACTAATAGTACTACTACTAATAGTCATAATAATACTATTAATACTAATAATACTAATACTACTACTAATAATAATAATAAGAATAATACTAATAATAATAATACTACTACTACTACTAATAATAATAATAATAATATTAATAATAATAATACTATCAATACTATCCAAAAAAAAAATAATAATATACTAATAATAATAATAATAATAATAATCAAATAATAATAATAGTACTAATGCTAATACTATACTAATACTAATACTAATAATAACACTAATACTCAATAATACATGATGATACTAATAATACTAAGAAAGATAAGAGAGGAGAGGCGGAGGAGGAGGAGGAGAGGAGGAGGAGGATTGTTAGTATAGGAGGATTTAGAGGAGGAGGATGAGGATTAGGTACTAGATGTAGGAATGTAGTAGGCGGGGAGTAGTGACGGTATGAGATGATGCATTATGCTTATGATGATGAGGAGGATTGATGAGAGGATGATGAGTATTGCGGAGGAGGAGGAGGAGGAGTCGGAGGCGTTGATGAGGGAGGAGGAGGTAGGAGGAGGGATGAGGAGGAGGAAGAAGAAAAGAAGAAGAAGAAGAAAAAGAAGAAGAGAAGAAGAAAGAAGAAGAAGAAGAGAAGCAATAAGAAGAAGACTAAGATAGAAGAAGAAGAAGAAGAAGGAGAGGAAGAGATTATGAGGAGGAGGAGGAGGAGGGGTATGGAGGAGGAGTTGGAAGAGGGGGATGGAGGAGGAGGAGGAGGAGGAGGAGGAGGAGGAGGAGGAGGAGGAGGACAGTACAGAGAGCTCTAAGGGACACAGGGACACTGCACTCAGTGCATGCGGCACGGTGGCGGTAAGAGGCTCTGCCTCACGATCGTCACCATCTCGGTTCTAGCCGTGATCGTATGCTATTCGCGTCTCTTTGACGTTGGCTCAAGATCCGGAGTCTCGGGGCTCAGCATCACAGCTCATGTCTCGAGCGAAGAACATGTTCCCAGCCTGCTGTCTTTGTCCATCTTGGCACATTTTTATTTAATCTATTCCTCCACGGCCCTGTGACTGATCGACACACCTGTTCTCATGTGGCTACGCGTGGAAGCCCAGTTTCGGAGAGGGGGCATGCATTCATAGGGAAGGCATGTCCACTGGTAACCTCAATGGGAGGTGAGCTGAGGTGAGGAGAGGGGGAGAGATTAGCTGAGGGGAAGGGATGAGAGGAGAGCGGAGGGGAGGAATGAAGGGTAGGGTGGGAGGGGAGGGATGCAAGGGGAGGGGGAAAGACGTTGGGAGTCCGCACGCATATGCTCGGAGCCGACGTCATTCCAGTCCAGGGCCCAATGCTCCCTGTCGGAGGGGGTTGCGAGCGGATTTCTCCCATAGCTGGGTGCGACTGCAAGAGCTTGGGTGGCCGATTCTGCGGGACTCTCTCTAAGGGAGAGCCTCCTCCTCCTCCTCCTGATCCTCCTCCTCCTTCTCCTCGCCCCTCGCCTTCCCTCTCACCTCGGTGGCGAAGGGCAATTGCCTGCGCGCTGGGCTTCCAGTACCACCAGGGAGGCTTCCGAGAACCGCTTCGGGGAGCGCGTCGCTCCCTTCCTCACCCTCCCATCCCCCCCCTCTTGTCGTCGTTGTCGTCGTGGGCCTCCTCCTCAGTAGTCAGCTGCAGGCATGGAGTGGATGTCGGAGGTCGTTTCAACCACGGTTTCACCACTGCGCCCTGTGCTCGTCGCAGCGAAACGGCTGCGCACTCGCCGCGCGTGCCAGGCAGAAGGGCCCCTCCCCATCCCTCCGGCCCGCCCCCCCAAGCGGGCCCTGTGCTCCACGACCTCGTCTCCGTGCGCGGTGCGTGCGTGCCTCCTGATCCGCCCCTCCCCCCCGCGTCCTCCTCGTCAACCTCCTCCGCCGCCTGTTCGTGGGGAGGAGGAGGAGGAGGAGGAGGAGGAAGAGGAGGAGGAGGACCAGTGTAAACGCAAGAGTCGTCAACGATGTCGGCATGAACTTTCTCTCCAAGCTCCCTCTTCACAGGCTCCTACAAGGCTTCATTACCGCTGAGGGAAATGCCTCGATGGAAGACAACAAGTTGAGGACCCTGAAGCATGCCACAACATTATTCTCCCCGGTTCCAATGCCACGGGTTAACCTGACTGTTGCGTCTTGACGATCCTGAATCGTGCCAAAGCGCCTTGACTTCAACACCGCGAATCAACGTAACTGTTGCACCCCCCATAATCCTGTTTTTTTTGAAACACCACGTCTGGTAAGTTGACAATAGGAATCCGTGAAACTCTTGCAACTTTGAATGAAATGGGCGCGGCGCTAAGGCGAGAACCACATTTTGAAAAGGAACCGCCCTCATTCCGTGAAACTCCTTGACATATTCAAAACGAATTTGCGCGGCCCTGAGGCGAGAGCTACATTTTTGAAAACCACCCGCCCTCCATCTGTGAAACTGGTGCCAATTTTTGTTGGGCTTCAGGGTCATGACTGATGAGGACTTCTCAGGCGAAACGCCCGGTCCGCCCTACAAACACGCCTGGTGCGACAGGGAGAGTACATGTAAAAGGAACAGGAATGGAGGAGAAGGAGATGGAGGAGGAGGAGGAGGAGGAAGAGGAGGAGGAGGTGGAGGAGGAGGAGGAGGAGGAGGGGGAGGAGGAGGAGGAGGAGGAGGAGGAGTAGGAGGAGTAGGTTTAGAAGTAGGAGTAGGAGTCAAGTAAGCCAGCCCGAGCGAGTCAAGCATGGCATACCCGTTCCCACCCGCCCTCCCACAACATAAGAAACAGTGCTGACGCAACTGGGGGCCGAAATCAGATCGGCAGGGTGGTTTGGCACAGCTGATGCAGCCGCGATGGCGGCTACCGATGGGAAATTCCTGGCGCGTCTTGAAGGCTGCGCTGGCATTTTAACACGAGCCGAGGATGCCCCAGGAGGCCCCAGGAAGCTTCAGGAGGCCCCAGGAGGCCCTGTGGAAACCCCAGCGAACGCTAGGAGGCCCGAGGAGGTCCCATGAGGCTTCAGGAAGCCCTAGGAGGTGTCAGGAAGCCCCGGGGGATCCTAGGAAACCCTAGTAGGCCTCAGGAGGCCCCAGGAGCATCCACGAGGCCCTGGGCAGGCCCCGGGAAGCCCGATGAATTGGCGAGCTGGGGGCCCCAGGAAGCCTCAGGATGCCCCAGGAGAATCCACGAGGCCCTGGGCTGGCCCCAGGAGGCACTATCATGCCCCGGGATGTTCCAGGAGGCCCTGGGAGGCCCTAGGCGCCCGACGAATTGGCGAACGAAACATGTGCGCTGCGCCTGTGCGGGAGCGCAACTTTCAGAAAACATGCGCGCGGCGCCAAGGCGAGAGCGACATGTCGTCCTGTGGCGAACTGGCGAGCTGGAGGCCCCAAGAAGCCTCAGGAGGCCACAGGAGAATCCACGAGGCCCTGGGAGGCCCCGGGCGCCCAACGAATTGGCGAGCGAAACTTGTGCACTGCGCCAGCGCGGGAGCGCAACTTTCAGATAACATGCGCGCGGCGCCAAGGCGAGAGCGACATTTGGTCCTGTCGCGCGAGACTGCGCCGCGCCCCATTATGGCCACGCATTTCACCCGCCGACGACAAGAAAGTCCACGATGAGAAGAGACAGGTCCACTTTGTATTTTTTTTTACTTGTAGAATGGTCCCTCCCGCTTGAGGTTGCCCCAGACGTCCGCGCGCGACGTGCGCCGCGTCCCGCTCCTGCCACGCATTTCGCATCGTCGACGGCAAGCCCACGCTGAGAGAAAATCCACGAGTTTGTATTGATTTTTCACGGCTCGGATGGGAGGGCCCAGATTGACGGTCGCGCGCGATGTGCGCCGCTTCTTATTCCTGCTGCGCAGTTCGCATCGTCGACGACAAGAAAAGGCCATGTTGAGAGAAGAATCAACTACTCAGATTTGATTTTTTTACAGTCAGGATGGGAGGGCCCGGATTTACGGCCGCGCCCGATGTGCGCCGCGTCTTATTCCTGCTGCGCATTTCGCATCGTCGACGACAAGAAAGGCCATGTTGAGAGAAACAACGACGACTTTGTATTTTTTTAACAATTAGAATGGGGGGGGCGGATGGAACCGCTATCAACCAGCCAGAGGGGGACTTGAGAGTATGTTCGAATGAGGAATAAAGGATAATAGTCGGAGTATGAATTGGAGTAGGAGTGAGAGTAAGACTAGGAATAGTAGTACTTAGTAGTAGTAGTAGTAGTAGTAGTCGTCGTCGTCGTCGTCGTCGTCGTCGTCGTCGTCGTAGTGGTGGTGGTGGTGGTGGTGGTGGTGGTGGTAGTCGCAGTCGTAGTCGTAGTCGTAGTCGTAGTCGTAGTCGTAGTCGTAGTCGTAGTAGTCGTGATAGTAGTAGTAGTAGTAGTAGTAGTAGTAGTAGTAGTA